GATGCTTGTCGGGGTTCTCCTCAGGGTGTGTCCAATCCATTTCCATTTCTTCACCTGAATATCTTCCTTTACCGGCCCTAGGCTTGTTCTCTCCAAATACCACACTCGGAAATCTGAGCTCGTATGATAGACTTAATCCTCTTTGAGATAAGTTGCATTCCACGAAAGCTAAATTACGACCGTCTCTTACTTTTTTCAAGAGTCGGTGTTTTATCAAAGCATCTTTTTGAAAACTTTTCCCAAGTCCGTGAATGATGCCACAGAATCTGCTTGCCTCAAAACATGGCGTTTGTTTTCCCTCAGGTGACATAGCGTATAAAGCAACTGGTGCGACTGGTTCTACGAGACTCACTGACGGAGACGACAGTACGTGCGAGAATGTCTACTCGGGGTATCCCACAACAGTCCAAACTGGGATAGATTTCAGGTTTACTTGGATGAGAATTAGCGGCGATACCAAAGGTGAGATAAAGTTTTGATAGGAAATGACTTTTTTTACTAGGAAGTAACGGAAGTGAAAATCATCTGAAACGAAGCATTAGAGTATAGACTGTAATATGCACACTTAAAGGTTTTGATTTCTGTAAAATTTAGGAAACAGTTGATGGATACAAAATCCACTCTTAGGCTAATAGTGTGCTTGTGTTATAAAAGTTATTCTTAAGTGGTGGCATATAAGAATGGGATATCTAAGCACGAAATTTAAACACTTAAGAGAGCCATCGCTTTTGAAAAAAATCCTATTACAATAATTTTTTTATTCCGAGTCCACTTCGACACAATTTCGATCATTTATGAGACAGGTTGCCCATATCTCGGGAGACAGACAAGGGTTTTCTATCCTCCTCTCATGGGACTCAAACTCACGTCTTCTGTATGCCACGTCTTAAAGTAAGAGACTCACCATACCACAACATCCTCTGGTACAATGGACAAAAAAGAGTGCTTTTGACGGGTGAAAACAATAATAAAATCATAGCCGCCCCCGCACCCCCATCTCCCTTTCTAACCATCATGATGTAGCCGGTCATGAGAGAGGGACATTGTGATTTGGGTCACTTCAGACAACAGCTGTGTCAACGTCCACTTTGGAAAAATGAGAGACACAGAAAATGACAAAGAAAATGTATCTGCACTAATGTTGAGGAGGAGGAGGAGGAGGTGGAGGAGGAGGAGGAGAAGGTGAACGAGAAGGTGGAGGAGGAGGAAGAGGAGGGCGAGGAGGAGGAGGAGGAGGAGGAGGAGGAGGAAGAGGAGGAGGTGGAGGAGGAGGAGGAGGAGGAGGAGGAGGAGGAGGAGGAGGAGGAGGAGGAGGCGAGCAGTAGGTGCAGGAGAAAAAGGACGAAAATAAGGGAAATCAGGAACTGATGCTGCGATTGAAGATAGTGCTATTGAAGCTTCTGTTGCGTTGTTGTTGTTGCTGTTGCTGCTGATGATGATTATGGTGATGATGATGATGATGATGACGATGATGATGATGATTTTTTTTTGTTTCCATAATTGGCCTGACGGACTTCACGAAGAAATCTTCGAGCGAGAGCGAGGCTCTTTTTCGGCTCCATTGTCAATATGCTTAGCGGCACCTCCACTCGTCCAAATAACTCCATTCGAATTGCCATTGTCCGTGGACATTCAAACATATGTTTGACATCCTCCTTTTCATGGCCCCATCTTTGGCAACATGGGCTGAGCTTCTCATTTACAAAGTTCTTATACCATCTTAAACTCCAATGATGGTCCGACCGCAGTCTCGCTAGCTCAACCTGGTCCCAGCGACATGTGATAGATTTTTGTTCCCGCTTATAGGAGTACCCAGAATACACATCTTCCAGTTGCTGGTACTTGGTTCTACATGGTGGGTCTCTGATTTCTCTCTTGATTATTGGAAAGACTCCTCTGTATGTCGTTGGTCGTCTGTCTCCTTCGATCTCTCTGGCTTCATTAGCAGCTTGGTCTGCTGCCTCATTTCCTTCTATTCCAACATGGCTTGGAATCCACTGAATTTTTATTGTGGCTCTGGCTTCACTGAACTTGCGGCGCAAATCATTCATGTCCGAGCTGTTGCCCAGCAGCCCCTTGCAGAGTGACTGACTGTCAGTCAAGATCAGCACATTGGTCCTACTGTGGCAATTGTCGGCAATCTATTGTGCAGCAGACATCATTGCCTGGCATTCCTCGTAATAAGATGATGTAAGGAATGCACCTTTAGTTTTAATAATTTCTGTTCGTGGTGGTTCATCATTTATTATCACCACTGCTGCTGCTGCTCCACCTTCGCGGTATCCTGCGACTGCCGATCCATCGGTGAAAATGGTCACATCCGCACCAACCTCTTTGATTTACATCCTCAGCTGCTTCACGTGCCTTTACAGGACCATCAGCTTTTCCTTTTACTCCTCTCAGTTCTGTCCGAATTTCGATTTCGCCATGGGTCTCCCATGGACAAGCTCTCACCAGATTGATCGGCCATCGATTCTCTGCTTCAGGGGGGGAGGTGGTCTGCTAGATCGGTGCCCATCCGAAACCAACTTTTCCTGCGGTTTTTAGGCTTGACTGCTTGATCAAGGGCTTTCTTTCTAGGATGGTTGTCTGGTAATCTCTTAGCCATCTCTATAGACTTGAGGCATGTTCTTTTTGTATAGGTGGTGAAGTGCTCAGTTCTGGTCTCATAGCGCAGCGCTTCTGTTGGTGTTGTTTTCAGCTGACCTGATACAAGTCGGAGGGCTTTGTTTTGTATTCTGTCCAGGGTCTTTGCACTAGTCTCACTCAGCCAAG